CTACCCCTCAACCGCGGCAGCGCGCGCGCGACCACATACTCCTGTTTGCCTGTAAGAGAAAGGGAGAGAGAGAGAGGGAGAGAAAGAGAGAGGGAGAGAAAGAGAGAGGAAGAGAAAGAGAGAGGGAGAGACAAAGAGCTGGGAGGGTGTAAAACCTGCAACACTAATGGCGATGATAACCCACTCGTTTTCCACAATAAAGCGAATCCAGCATCAGCAAGGCCCAGCAGTTCACATCTAAATGGCAATCAATCATCATGGCTGATTGATTGACTAATTGATTGATTGATTGATTGATTGATTAATAATAAGGGAATAGAAGTATTCTGGGACAAGCCGTTCAGCGAGCGAACACGTGTAAATATGAACGAATGAACGTCTGATTCACACAACACCCACTCTCTTAGTTGTTCCCCCGCATCACTAAACGGCCCGCGTGAGGTCGACTACTTCTCTTCTCCTAGCGGACAGGCCATCACAACTTAACAATTCTCTTCCATCCAACAGCTCCCTCCACCGTAATCCTGGATCTGTCACCCTCCTCCTCCTCCTCCTCCTCCCTTCTTCCCTTCAACTCTCCCTCCTCCTCCCTTTCATGTTTACCTCCCATTGCAAATCTTACTTACTCACATCACACACCCACTCCTTCTCCGCTCATCGTCTCCCTCCCTCTCTCCCTCCCTCCCCCTCACCCACCTTCTCCTCCCTCTCCCCCTCTCCCTCCCTCCCTCCCTCCCTCCCTTCCCCTCCGACCTTCTCCTCCCTCTCCCTCCCTCCCTCTCTCCTCTCCACTCTGCCTTACGCAAGAGCGCTCTACCGATAACGTCCTACCGTAGCGCTCTTCCCCGCTCATGCCACGTGGTCCCACCCCGCCTTGCGCCTCTCACCGGTGTGATCGCTCCGTCCAATCACAACCCCGCGGCTTCTCCGACAAACGTCTACTTTCTTTTTTTCCCCTTTTTTTTTCCAGTCCGTCTGGCAAAACTAACCGCCCCTACCTCTCCTCACTTTCCAGTGTGCTTCTTCGGGCCTCGCTGCACTACTCGCCACAGGCACAAAAGACAAAAGATATGGCAATGTATCTTTCCATGTTCTAGCAGGAGATTCATTCTCATTTTGAACATTTGGTGAGTAGTGGAGCGCGGCCCTCCTTTCCCTGGTGCTGCCGAGAGCTCGTCGCTCTCAGTCCGTACTCACAATACCGGTAGCTTTATCTGGGGTGTTTCTGAGCGCATTTATGGGCGCACCTGGACGCATCTGACCGCAATCATGTCCAGAAATAAGAAAAAACGTCCTTGTGTGAGTATTCCATCGACACTCCCTCCCGCGCTGACTTTCCAGCTCCCGCCGCCAGTCTCCGCTGCGACTCTTCGTTACGGTAGCCGTCACGGAAATACGGGGGACCCACAAAAAGGGGGAAAAAAAACGACAAAAAAAAGAGGAAATCCGGAGGACCCACAGAAAATTTGAAAAAAAAAATGCCGGGGACTGCAATTTACAGCCCGAGATTGCAGTCCCCAGCAATTTCCAGCCCAAAAGGTTTGCAGTCCCCAGCAATTTACAGCCCAAAAGGTTCTAGTGGATGCGAGCGCTCCGAACTTGCGTTACCAGTTGGGTGCAGCGCTAATTTTGGCTCTGCCTTCAGCCGGTCTCAGCGGTCGCTCAACTCTCCACCAAGACGTGCGAGCGATTAGGGTTGACGTCGCCTCGGGGTCACCGAGGTCTCCGTTCTCCTGCCGCCGAGCCAGTGTGATGGTGTCCATACAGCCACACACGAATTGTTAGATGGTCGTGAGAGCCATGATAATATTTTGGGGCGTGAATTAACTGATTGGGCGAGCGCCACAGTGCGCCCGCCTTTGACGTGAGAGCTAGCTACGCTATAAAAAGGCTACAATGAGAAGTTCAAAAGCGGTCAACAACTTATTGAATCCTCACCGAAAGTAATTCTGAAGTGGGAAACACTAAACGATTTTGAAGTTTTTTTAAATTGGGTTTTAACAATTTAAGAGGTGCTAAAAATTCTGAATGCCTCCCCTTCTGCATAATGTTGAACATTTTGAAATTTTTGAAGCGTTGAAAATGTTGAATATTATGAATGCCCCCCTTCAAGTTATATCCCAATGCAAAAAAACGATGAAGATTCTAAAAATTCTGAAGTGGTGAAGATGCTGAAAATTCTGAACATCCTCTCGAGGCATCCGGATGAATTTTGACACTTAAGATTTTAAAAATTTTGAAGTGGTGAAGATGCTGAAATTTTTAAATCCTCCCCCCCGCTTCCCCCTGATTTGTTTCTTTGAGGGGTTGTTCATAATTTTCAGCACCTTCACCACTTCACAAATTTCAGAAATTTCATACTCTGGATGTAGATTATGAAGACTTTGAAGTGGTGAAGATGCTGAAAAACTTGAACCTCCGCCCCTTCCCCATGTTTTGTTTTGTTTTGGGGGAGGTGTGTTCGAAACTTCAGTACCTATATGAATAATTAATATTACTGGATCCATTAACCACCTCTCGGGAAGTTATGTCTTGTGTTTCAAGATGTCGGACCAAGCAGCGAGTGCAAACCAAAACAATGGAAGAGCGGCAGCTCCTCCAGCAAGGTCGGACATCCCGATGTCGGACAAAGATTGAATGAAGATGTTGATTGCAAAATTCTACGAGGACGGGATTATCTCGGAGAAGTTTTGTCATGGGGAATGGATAGTCGAAAGGGGAGTTCGCCTCTTCAGAGTGAACCCAGGCCTAGACTTCCTGGTCACTGTTTGGTTAAAGAAAATAACTGTAACAGTGATCTTTCAAAGGGAGGTAAGAAACTTGCCCCTTCGGATTAGAGAGGACTTGGTGAGGGCGTATGAAAACGGATGGTACAGGGAGAGAGTTTTTCATCGATCAGTTAAGAGGGGAAAATTTCATTTAGAAGGGTCGAATGTTCTCTCCTATGTGGCAAAGACAAGAGAAGCGGTAAGGTGGATGATTTCCAAGAGAGAATATAAGGTCGAAATTCAGAAGATTGAGTACGGTGTGGTCTTTAAACCTTTAATGGAATTGGAGGAAAGACGAAAACTAAAAGATGCAACCAAATTTTTGGTTACGGCCATGAGAGTTTCTCTTCGTGTGAAAACTTTTATGGGGGGGATTATCAATTATCTACCTCCAAAGCCAGATAAATCAAGACCTAAGCTCATTAACTTGAAGTTTGAGTTTGTCTGAGAGGTAGAAAAACGTTTGAAGAGAAGCTTCTAATCAAGTTGGATGATGGCAAAATCTACTATATTAAATTCGCCTACAAAAACACTCTGTGGTGCAAAATGTGTCGATAGTACTTCCACACAACAAAGG